TGTAAAAAAAGGCCACAGATATAATCCGGTGGCATGTATAAGACACATAATGGCAATGATAAGTTTAAATGAGATGATGAATAAGCTATTTGAACTTCTTCTAGCTGACCATATGGGTCATCTGTTTGACTTTTTTTGGAGCTAAATCTCTTTGGTTCTATTATAATCGTTTAGAGATGATAGATAATAGGATCATATGAAAGAACACGGAGCCAACTTCCAAATTGCGATACCTGTTAAGTACATTTCTTAAATATATTTCCTTACGATCTGATCTGATCTTTTTTTTTACCTTGACTGTTCCATTGATCCTCACTACATCCTCTGCTTTCATTACCCCTCAGAATCCCTCAATGAGCAGCCGTATATCTTTTCTCTAGAATAAGAATGAACCAGACTCACTGAAGCAAATGAGACGCAAACTCGTGTATAATACTTAGAGTCCAAGGGCTCTCTGAGGTTTTATTACTTTGGCAAATGGACTCAATGGTTAAATAGCTGAGGCATAAGAGGGAATATAAGAAGAAGGAGAAAGATTTATTTCATAATTACTACAGCTAAATAAAACCGTTACTCATCTCAAATTGAATTAACCCTCATTCTATAATGTTCAATATATTTAGTCAGACAAGCAAACTTTTTTTATTTCCCGAGAATTGCTGAGTCCACGGCATGCCCCTCCTATCAAGATGGGTCGGGGAAAAAAAACAACATGGCCCTGCAGCATAGTAATAGCAATAATCAAATGGGTTGTTTACCCCAGGTCTGTTGGGTGACATTTGCTGTGCTCCGGCCGCAGGACACAGTAGGATAATTTCATTTCCTCTGAGGAGATTGGATTTAAATGCCTTGACCGGATGAGGCTCTGCCTGCATTTATTGTATATTCTGGCTCACTGGATGAGTGCATTTGGGTTACCGTCTTTTTCACGAAGGTGAAACGCAGATGACAATGTGCATGCCGGTATATTCTGTCAACACCGTGCTGATAATAGAGGTATGTTACTTGAAATGAACAATCCTCATTAGCTATCGATCCATTGCCTGCAAAGTTCATCCTCAGGCAACTTTTAATCATTTGGCATTTGTGACTACACTTAGTCAAAGTGTCGAGCGTTGTTAATCCAAGTGCCCCTCTCCTTGCCCCCATCTTAAAGAATGACAACAATGTTTAAGGCATTTTGTAGGCAAATTAATGTTAACAGCTTGGGCAAGAACTGTCAGTTCAAAGTAACCATATTAGCTCACTGGAGGGGCAGTATAAATGGGGCAGGAGATGTCACAAGGGAAAGGTTTCAACTTAGAGATGGCACGGGACTGCCATGGACTCACACACATTCAAAAGTAGGAGGAAAAAATATATAGGTAGGTGCGGCCTCGTTTTGCTTTCGTCAATGTTTTCAGATGGATTTGACATGCTTTTTGGACAGCATCTGCTCTTGTCATTTGGACAAGAACTGCTTCTGCTGAATTAGGTTTCCGGATTGTTTGGGATCCTCTAGTGTGTTCTGCGATAAGGCTTTCAGGTTTGAGTGTCTGTGTTGTGAGTTGAAAGCTGTCCATGCGTTCATGCCTGGACCTCATGCTGCGTGACTGAGAGGATGAAAGCTTATGTGCAAGGCCTCTCCCATGGATCTACCCCAAAGGTATTTCTGTGCATTTTTATCACATTGTAAGAGTTTATTGGACTAGTTGTATCCTCCCATTGGTTTGAAAGTCACTAATGCTTATGTATGCTTCTGTTGATAACAATACTATTAGATGTTACAACTGAAACTTTTGTTTTGGCTAGACAGTCTTTTCCGAACATTCTAAACTTCGTACAGCGGATCATTGGCTTAAAAAAACATTGGCAATTGCTTTTTTTTACCCTCAACTGACCATGATCATGATCCAAATGATGTGGTTGAACATGAAGGCAGAAAGAAAATGCAGATAACTTAATAAATGCAGATAACTTCACTACACTTCCTTTCAGATATTGTATCAAATTTTCTGCCCCATATATTTTTTATTTCAGTCAGGCATTGCAACTTGACCAAAGACTACTGAAGACCAATGATTCTATAAGTAAGTGCTACAGACACTATATCAGATAAAGAACATAGATGGGGACAGCGCAGATCCCTGTGCAGCACTGTGTGGTCATTGTTGAGCTGACAGTGTCCGCTGCTGGCTGGAGCGTTTACTGCATGTTGTGGACAGTACAGACCCCGTCCAGCAAAGTAAGCCTGGGCAGTCTCAACGGGTAAAACTTTGTGAGCGTGGACAGCACGAGATGATATCAGTGGAGTGCAACCTTTCTCAGACCTAGACATGCTTTTTTGTTTTGTCTTTTTGTCCCAAACAGCGTAACCATATTACCGTTGCGCGCCACAACGGAGTAATTTTGTAGAAACCGGTTGGCATATCCTCAATACTCCGCGCAAAAACGACCCTTTCATCCACGGGCGCGTCTGCCAAGCGTGATATCGATTTCCAGACACCGTCAGCTACAGATTTTCAGTTCAGCCCCGTCCTCTAATGGTGCATGCGTGCAGCTGGATATCAACAGGTGCGTCTGGCATGTGGAAAACGCACGTAAAACGTACCCCAGCATAAACACAGCACGTTTCCCCCTGTGAGCTCGCATGTTTGATTACAGAAACAAACAGCAGATGGCCCTCTTGAGTTTTAATTTTTTTTCCGTGTGTCTGATTGAGGCTTAAACGACATTCAGTCGAGGTGGAC